ACAGCTGTGGTTTGTAGCTCGTCGTTTTCATTGTGTTCGGGCTATCAGGGGTTGTATTCGTTACTCAGTAACGTATATATACGGTTTGCTACAGCTCTATTGCAAACCTAATTTTGATTAAAACTGAACAAGTGCGAATTCGTAAGTTTATAATTGGCGCCAATGAAAAAATGGTTCATCTCATCCGCACCAAGACCGCAAGGTTTTGAATCTTTATTACAGACTCCCATAGATTTCAAATTTTTCCACAATGTTCTGGAGGGTAATTTTGTATCAAGCTTATTTTCCAGATAGACTCTTTTACTGTAACGTATTTCTTTAGCTACTTTATTTCTCAAATTTTTTATATGCATTCCAACGCTCGTCTGAAGGATATTGCTTCCAATATTTACAGGCCTTACTTCGATCCTTAATAAGATTAAGAATGTGCTTAGTGAACCACGGTCTCTTATAATTATTCACTTTTATAGTACGTAGAGGGACATATTTATCATACAAGTATTTTACCAGTTTATTAAATTGATCTAATTTATCATCCAAATTCGAGAAGAACCAGCAAGAGTTCCATTCCAGTGATATACTTTCGTCATTCAGTGCTATTTTATCAATACATTTAAAATCTCTGAACGTCAGGTTGGTAACTGACAATTCTTTGTTAAATTCAATATTAAAAGATAAAAATACTAGTTCATGATCAGAGACTCCATCTAAGGAAAATTGGTCTACGTGGCTAACTTTGCTAACATTGCTTACACCAAAGAGATCTAACATGCTTGGCTTACAGTGAGGAGCAAAACGTGTTGCAAATTCGTTTGCGACAGTTAATCCACAATTGGTAAAGTTTTTTTAGTAATTGCCTACATTTAACATTATCCAGGAGAAGATCTACATTAAAATCACCACAGACGAGGACATTTACATAGCTCAAGGACAGTTCAGATATTTTTGTAAAAATAGTGGTAAAGTCATTAGACCTATGAGGATTATAGACACATATTACAAGACACCTTTGAACATTATCACTAAACTCTACAAAAAGACTTTCAATTGTTTCAGGACAGACAGATTTATGAACGACTTTACATTTAAGACTGGATTTGAAGTAAATGGCAATGCCACCCCCTCTATGACCAGTGGACCTATCATTCTTTAAAAGTGAAAAAATCACAAAGAGCATAAGCAGAGTGAGCAATACAAGGTTTGAACCATGTCTCAGTTACACAGACCACATCAATATTTACTTCCCGTAACAAAAAGTTTAAATATTCAAGTTTATCAATCGATAAACTTCGAGCATTAAAGTGGCAAATATTGAACCCCTTCTTATATTCGCACGTAATTTTCAGAGCTAGCCTAATATTATCACTGTTAGTGTATCTACACAAGGTACTAGTCATATGGATCACAGTTTGGGAGGCTTGCGAAACAGTCAGCTGCAAAGTACAAATAGAAGGAAAGGGAAGAAATGGGGTAGATGTGAAATAAAAAGAGGATAGAATCTGTCATGGCTATTATAAAAATAAGTATAAAAACAAAAGTAAGTATAAAAACAAAAACAAATCGTACAAAGTTTCAATATTAACTAAAATAATAAAACATATGCTAAGTTTAAGTGGCAGCTGCTAGACGCTCGACGCTCTCACGATTAAGAACTTTTACTCCTTCACTGCCGGCATGTTTTTTTGCGTAAATTTGTCCCCGTATTGAGAATACACTCACCAGCCGCTTTTGTCTTTTTAGCTGAGCAGCCAGTCGCATAAGCTCACGGTTCTTTTTTGTCAAGCATTCATGAACAAATATCTTTTCATCAGAATCAATTCCAATATTGCGGCGAGTTAATGCCTTTCGGCTAGATTTGAGAAATCGAGCAACTGCTACGAGCAAACGAGAGCGATCATAAGCAAAATTTAGTTTTGCAATGATAGGAGAGGGGTTTGTCGAATTGGAAGTGGATGTAGGTTGATCGACTCACATAATTGCATGATTCAATAATACAAGGTTGGATAACCTGGCGATTGTATCGCTCCCGCATTCTGCCTTAGCCTGTGTTGCTTTCTTTTTTGATTTGTAGAAACTACTACTAAAATACAAATAGAAATATTGTGTTCGTATAAAAAGTTCAACAGGCAACACTGCCGATATTTTCATCGATTGTTTTGTGGAAATTCATTTTTCAAATGCGCAAATTCAAGTAAGTATGCCGAAAAAATCTAAAATAATGGAAATATTTTGTATTAAAACAATAATTTACATATGTATTTGTTTGCAGAGTCTCAGAGTTATTCACAATTCGTTTTAAACAACTAGAGTTTTACAGCAAGTATAGTTTTGCATATTTACAAGTAAGTATACCACACCATAAAAGTGAAAGTGCACATATTAATAAAGATATTTTCTTGTACAGGTCCGGATCGTCTGTGTATACGTCCCCATCCGCTGGTACAGCGATTTTTGATATTGCATCCTTTTGTCTATTTACAAGTAAGTATACCACCCCATAAAAGTGAAACTGCAAATATTAACAGATATTTTCTTGTGCAGGTCCGGATCGTCTGTGTGTCCGTCCACGTCACCTGGTGCAGCGATTTTTACATACTCAACATCATCGTAGCGCAGCCCACTTTTAGCGCAAGGCCTTTATAATATCGCACACCGTGTTCAAAAGAGTCACAACTCAAATAATACGTTTGTAAGAAAATGCGAAAAACTATTTCTTATCATATGGACAAGGGCGACTTTACCTTAAGTTTTTTTTAACAAATAATAAAAAAAAATGTCTGCAGCTTTCGCTGGAAGGCAAATAAAAGCTCTGTGCATAATTTCATAAATTAAAAATTTTGAGTTGTGACACCTTTGTAGACAGTGTGCTATATACTGGTGTTTTGTATGTAACTTTAAAATAAGTGGAAAAAGTCTAGTGTACTAACCGTTCATCTATAGTACACCCAACAAAGGGCTTCGATAAAACTCTTCATGCTGATTTCAACTATCCCTGAATTAATAAGGTTCTATGAAGTAGTATGGTAACGTGTTTGTATCTTAACTTGCGCCGAGTAATTTTAGTGTTGTTGAAATCAGCATGCAAAGTTCTATGGACGCATATTTTTGGAGGTTTTCATAGCATAACGGTTGCTGTTTTAGATTTATACCCAATAAGTTCACTAGAGTTAAATTTCGATTAAGATTAATAAACATTATGATTGTTTGGCAGTTGTAATTTTAATGATTATTATAACTTACCTTGGTAATCTGGTAATTATTATTTAGTTGTAATTTGAAATAATCATTTGTCCGTGTACATGATAACTCAAGCAAACTTTGAGATACGATTATCTGCCCCACCTCCCAAATACCGTATTTTCGAATTTTAAAAATACTCTTGCTAAGCAAAGTTAAAGCAATGAATAAAGGTAATGAAAAATAACGTTTTCCTTCCGTTTCAGTCCGTTTTCAGAGATAGGGTTTATAACCAAATATGCTAATTACATTTTGTTATTGACATAGTAAATTCAAAATGCCGAAAACAAGCTGTGCATTGTGCCGAACAACATGGAAAGAAGAAGGAGTCAAGATGTTCCATGTGCCTGCAAGCGAATTAAAAAGAAAAAATGGTCTGACTCTTGCGGAGTTCTCCTAACCCAAAGCTCCAGAATTTGCGCACTTCATTTTGAATCTTTTGATTTTGTATCCAGCTCCGATTGCAAAAGGGTGAGGTTATCTGACGATGCCTTGCCACTGGCTGTTGAAAGCTTATGCGATTGGGAAGAACCTTCTTCCAAGTTCGTCGATGTCGCAACCCAAACGGAGTAAATATTTGTCAATCCAAAAAATTGTATCTTAATAATCATTTTGTGCTATAGAACAACGGATAATCAGGTTCTTGAAGCTGAAGTAGCAAATTTAAGAGCGCGGGTTAAGGAGCTGGAGAAGCTTGAGAACGCAGTTTCGGCTATTTTTACGCGAGGTCAGGTGCGAAAGTTGTACGAACCGAAGAAATTAATTCATTGGGAATGGGAAGATATTTCTACCGCTATTGCGCTACACGCCGCTGGTCCAAGGGCATATGGCCACTTGTGTAAAAATGGTTTCCCTTTACCTTGTGAATCCACTGTAAAAAAATGGCTGCAGAAAGTTAGTGTGGACGAAGGCGTGCTAAGCTTCTCGTTGAGTGTGCTTAAGAGCGCAAGCGAGGCTCCTCCTGAAGATAGACTCTGCATACTCAGTTTCGACGAGATGAAGGTCGAGTCGTTGTATGAGTATGATGCTATATCCGACACTGTTCAACAGCCGTATAATTACGTGCAATTAGCAATTGCACGTGGACTGAAGTCCTCGTGGAAGCAACCGGTGTTCTGTGCGTTTGACTGCAAGATGACCAAGAGCATTTTGGAAAATCTTGTAATCAAATTGGAGGAAGCGGGATGTACAGTAGTAGGAGTAGTATCCGACATGGGCTCAGGGAATCAGGCCCTTTGGAGAGCTGAATGTCACAAGTGGTATAGGAATCTGTGTAAGTGTTTAACACAACCCGTTAAAATTTTATATCTCATTTTTAGAGCAAACTTGGTTTCCCCACCCGGCCACCGATGGAAAGATTTTTGTGTTTGCGGATGTACCGCATCTTATCAAACTCATTCGCAACCATTTTCTCGATACCGGGTATATGTACAAGGGAAAATACTTGACCTCTCGCACGATCGCGCAGTTACTCCTTTTGACTTCGGTGTCGGATGCATCAATTTCCTACAAGCTGACAGAGCAACACCTCATGGTTCACCACGCTGGACGACAAAAAGTGAAGTTGGCTGTTCAACTGTTTTCACACACCACCGCAAGCGCTATAAGACGGTGTTATGGTTTAAGGCACGACTTATTCAACGCTACAGAGACGGCAGAGTTTATTTCGGTGGTCAACGATTGGTTTGACGTTTTTAACACCAAACTTAAGACCTCTCAGTCACTGCCAACAAGGAAACCTTTTGGCATGGATTTGCTTTCCCAAATGCAGACCTTAGCAAATATGGACGTTTGCATGCAAAATATCAGGGCGCGTGGGCGACAGACATTGCTACCCTTTCAGAAAGGAATTCTCCTGAGCAACAATTCGCTTAGAGATTTATACCAGTATCTGAAGGAAAAGCATGACTTTAAATATATCCTGACGTACTGGTTGAATCAGGATATAGTTGAACATTTTTTTCGGTGCGATGCGTGCAAAAGGAGGACTTTTCGACAACCCAAGCCTGATGCAATTTAAATATAGATTGCGAAAATATTTGCTAGGTATAATTTTTAGTATTGTCATTTAATTGAGTCCTTACACTCAATATTTTATTTTAGCTCGTAACACAGAAACTTTGGCTGCTCGTGGAAATGTGGAAACCGACGAAACCGAGTGGCTTCGCCTCAGCGACACATCGTTAGAAAATCTGAAAGGTCTCCTAACAGATGATGAGGTGGTTTCTGAGGAATTCGAACTTTCCACCGAATTAGCGTTTCCCAGTCAGATGGAACCAACCATTGAGATTAGCGGCTTACACGAAGATGCGTTGGAGTATATTGCGGGATTCGTGATAAGAAAGCTGGGCTTGGTGCAGTACGGAGCAAACGAGCCAACATTTACGTGGGTCGACGAAGTATCCAGGGGTGGACTAGTTAAGCCATCTAGTATCTTTCTGGATATTATAAAAGGCTTGGAGCTCGTATTTAAAAATTTCAATGGTGGCGTAATTCGAACTTGTAGCCCTTATCTGGCGACACTTATGGCATGTTCTGATCACATTGATGTCAGTGTTGAGGTAAAAAAGCTGTTTTTTAAAACGCGTATGTACCAACTCATAAAGCACATCAATAAGTCTCGAAAAAGTAAAGGACTTTTCTCCCATTGAACCCAAGGTAAATGATCATTTTAAATTTTCAAACATACATACAAAAATTAAAGTATTAATTATCTTTTAGCAAACAACTCGCCGCTTATTTTTCCTTTCTGCACCCAATAAATGTTGATACCTGTCGCAACAATGAGCAAAAAAAATTCTAACATTTAAATTTTCATCATACATGTATGCAGACCTAGTATTTGGTGTGCACGCCCGTTTAGCCACGACACGACGGCATGACATATGTACATGACATGGTTATATTCTGCTTAAACTGTTCCATGTTTCAAATAAAAGTTAAATTGTATACTATAAATATGTGAATGAAATATTTACACCTTTGAACTTTCTTTCCAGATGATGCACAAAGAATGGCCATCATAAACCATCACTCCATCGACCATTCATAATAGCGCATAATGCTCGCGATATGCCTGGTGTGAATACTTCAATTCACAACTGAAATTGTAAGGCATGCAATGCAGATTTCGAGGGTTATAAAAATAATCAACACTTTTTACAAAACGAAATGGCAAACGCAACGGTGAGTACATAGAAGAGTTCTCCTGTTTCTAAATCCTAGTTTGACTTAGCATTTCATTCTTTTTTTTGCAGTAGATATGGCAAACAACTTTTTCGTGCCTAAAGATGATACACCTTTGGTGTCAATCTATTTATGTATACGTTTTTCAACCTCGAAAACTATTAACAGCTTTTGTATGAAGGTCTTTGGAAGTTACCACAAAGCATACAATTATGGCATCCATCCATTTTAAACCCTACTACATGCATACGCTGACGAAAATCTTCAGACATATAAAGAAGACTCGAAAATGCTAGAGACAACATACGGAAAATGGTTTAGAAGAAATAAAGAGGGTACTGTCCGCATCCGTTGGCTTTTAAGCAGATACGCAAGCGATATGTAATAGAAAACATTACCAAAAATTTACATTTTTAAAGCAAATGTAATTCAAGTTAAGCTGTTAATGATATAATTTTTAAGTACAACTAATATAATTGTTACAAGACTGATTGCAAAAAAAAAGTACAAAACATTAAAATTAAATTTTAATTAAAAAATAATAATGTTATTAAATTAGGATACTCAAGATCTAATTTTTAAATATAACCCATATAATGATTAACAAGACTGATAAGAGAAAATAGTAGAAAATATTTCCAAAAATTTACACGTTTAAAAAACGAAATGTAATTAAATTGTGATACTGAAGACATATTTTTTAAATGTAACCAATATTACGATTAAGAAGACTGATTGCAAAAAAGTACAAAACATTAAAATTAAATTTTAATTAAAAAATCAAATGTAATTAAATTATAATATAAATGATTAGCAAGACTGATTGGATAAAATAGTAGAAAACATTACTAAAAAATTTAAATTTGTAAAAAACCATATGTAATTCAATTACGATATTGAAGATGTAACTTTTAAATGTAACTATTATAATGATTAGCAAGACTGATTGGATAAAATAGTAGAAAACATTACTAAAAAATTTAAATTTGTAAAAAACCACATGTAATTTAATTACGATATTGAAGAGGTAACTTTTAAATGTAACCAATATAATGATTAACAAGACTGATTGGATAAAATAGTAGAAAACATTACTAAAAAATCGAAATTTGTAAAAAACCATATGTAATTCAATTACGATATTGAAGATGTAACTATTA